ACGACGAGAAGTGTTCATTAGTCCTTTACTCCTTCGTAGTGCACAACCGGATCAGCACCGCATTTGATGAAGACCATCGTTAAAATAACCCCGAATGGATACCGCTTTGCTCATTTAACTCAATATAAAAGCAAGAAAACAGTGTTTCCTTAGTATGCTATTGTATTCGTTATATGTCTGCGCTGCTTATATTATGAAGTTAAGTCTGATAAGAAAATCTTGGTCAGAAAATAAATGTCTGGCCAAACACAGATCTGCTCGTGGGAGTAGGATTTCCGATCGAGATTATGGTGACAGGCCCAAGATCCCCGTTCAAAATTATTCCGTTTCCACCGTCATCTCAGTATATCCATTACTCTCCTTCGACCTCCAATTCTCGCAGTAAGTATTACAGATCTTAAATTTATTATAAATCAGAAACAAAGTCCCAAATTTAATGAACTCTTTATAATTAGATACATAAAAAATAACTCTTCACAGCAACTAAATTAGATTCACTACACTATATTGTGCACAATCTGAGATATCGTACAAAACGATAGGTTTCTGCATGCTCCTTCATAGGTCAATGTTACTTGTATTAGGTTAATTTTTTTATTACCTTAGGTCCATTTCCCGAAAAAGCCGGTAACCTGATGGAAAATATTATACTTCCTGAAGAAGTTATCCGAAAAAAATACGTTCGGTCCGTGGAATCAACGATACCTTCAACCATCCTTCAGAGACTTCAGTTGTACAAAAGTACGTGACACTCAAATGTGAAGTTGGATAGCCAATGTGCAATTTAGCGTTGACAAAATAACCTGCTTCTTTTGCGCCTTATTAGCTACGTAGTGTTATTCAAAAAGTCTATTTAGAGACTACCATCTTGGTTCACGATCCAAGCTCTTTGGTTACAGTTAAAGTTACCCGAACTTGTACCAATTCTCACAAGAAATATCTCCCCTGTAACCTCAAATCTGTAACACGAAAAACGATAACTTAAAATGACTGCAGTTACTCCTGCTATTGTAGAGTTTTACTTCATCTATACCGCCAGAGACACTATGAGCCGGCTCAGTCGAGTGCTGAAGACACGTCTGTACTTTTTTTTACTTATTATCAAAATCCTGTAAGAAACTCTTAAAAATAAGTAATTTTTAATTTTATTTGTTCTAGTAATCTCGATGTATTTGTCTAAGGCGGGTGTGGATTCCGGCGAGGCATGCATCAAGCGGGCCATTTGCGAAGCTGCGATGCTACCTACAGCACGCGACGAAATCCTTGCTGGAGAATTGATCAGTGTAATACTTAAGTAAGTTATTTTTAAATTAATATATTGATTGATATAGTAAACTGATGAAAACTAGCGCAGTAATTTTCCGCAATCTTCATTGTCTAGGTGTCCTAGAAGTGTCTTAAAAGAGCTAACGTCCTCTCGCAGATCTATTTTACATGTCTACTGCAGTGTGATACTGTATTCATGTACGGTATACTGTATATATTAGTAAGGTGAAATGACATGATTGTTAAGAGCACAAGCAAAAGACCAGCTGGAGTTACACCTCAAATATATCCTCAGCCGGGTCTAAATTTACCGAAAATATTACGCTAGCAGTCATTTATATGAGTTTAAACGAATGCGTAATTGGCAATAACGCGAATTTCTGCGTAATTTTTATTTTTCTATGAACCAGATAGCAAATTTGTCGTTTGGCCGCTTAGTAATTCGTCTGTCCTATTTCAGTTTCCACAGGATAGGTTGAATGAATATCGAGCAATATGTTAATGTGAGGACACTTCATTTGGTCGTTCTACTTGAAACCAACGCAGAGATTTATATGAATTAAGCTCAACCGGCAAGCACGAATTTACACTATTATAATTAACTAGAAAAAAAGAAGAGGCTAAAACCTTTCCGCGAATCGTGACACAGTTGAGTTTTTCGCTGATTCCAGAGTGCCGGATAATAATCTACCTATGATGGCTGAGTACAACGAAGCTCGGAAATTGGGCGAAGTAAACAGAAACTGCTCGAGATACTTTGACTGTTCTATGACCATCTTCACTACAAAGTTAATATATGGAAGCGATGCGAAGGACTACCAACATTAGGACAGCTAGTCATTGTCGTCCAATTCACGTAAATGATCGTTAACACTCGGTTTGACTTACTAATCCAGTCTTGATGTGATTGAAAAACGGAGTGTTCGTTTTTCCGTCTTCCCGTCAAATCATATGAGGCTTCTTCGCGTACGTATAAACAGTTACCTAATAAACCTCAGGATTATTTTCGGCAAAATGATTAATTTGTTTTTTGTAGATAGCATACTAGTCTGATCATGATGCACGTGCTAACTACGATATAATAAATAGTGTCGCATCTGATTGAAATTTGGGATCTGTGAGTCTAATGTAAACTCAAAACGTATAATCGATTACGCTGATTCGTTTGCCCCAGGGTATTTCATTTTTTTTTTTAAAATGTTGTTTTAAAAACAGCGACGTGTGGTGATATGTCTAAGTGTGTTGCACTTTTCTTTTATCTAAAGCAAATCATACGTAGCTTGCAAGCTTCTGTAAAATATATAATTGATAAAATATAAACGAAGGGTGAGGCAGTAAACAAAGAGAGGCAATGCGGTGGCAAAGTTAGGTTTTGCCTATTTACTCTAAGCAAGAAGTCAAATTTCACCATAGCGTCTTGAAAATGTTTCCTATTCTTCTGTTTTCGCCGCGTTGCCCCTTTTGGTTAATCTCACATACCGTTCTTCATAAACCAAATCTCCCAAGGAAGTGAAGTTCCATGTGAGTCGCCAGATGGCGCTACCAGTGCCATCGAGCGTGATGACAAGCATAATTATCTACTAGTTTGCAGTGTTCTCGATCCTGAATCAGCCATTGAACGTTTTGAGGGAATTTGATATTGTAGTACGAATCGTCAACTTAATAAAGAGCACCTGTTATTCATTAGTTGTTACCCAGATAAAGGATCGCTCAAGAGTTGGAATAGCACCTATGCTATCAACGCACTGAAGTGCATTAAGGCGTTGCATGAAAGCCCTGTAAAATTTTGCAGGTTTTAACACAGAGGGAGCAATTCTACGATCACACTAACGCTACTTGCTCTATTCAGTCATAGTATAGAAGGCCCGGTAGTAAGTCGACCAATTTAAAACAATGTTGTTTAACAATAATGCATAGGAAAACAAGATTTAAGAGCATCATTTTGCCAGGAACAAAGTACACATTAGTTGTTGTTCTGATACTCAGGTCACAGCGATCTGATAAAATAGAAGGAAAAGTATTTAAAAGAAAACTAGGACACGCTCTCTGTGGTGCTCTTCTGGGAAACCTATTTATAGCACTGTATCTACCGTTTTGTTTACGACGACGTTTTCCTGCTAATATTGATAATGCGTATTGCAGCACCCACTGCGGTGAGAGGCTTCAGCCTCTTCAATTCAGAGCCAACAAATTTCATAAAGCCACCAATTTAGAGAAGATCACAGTAGCTTCCAGATGGACAATGTCTAATGCACATGTGCGTGTAAATGAAAACTATAAAAAAGAGATTATTATTTTGATCTATTCTGAGAGCTCGGCGGGATCGAAATGCATAGTTGGAGTTCGCGCAGCTCTCCAGGTCTCCCTCGCGTACGCTGTATGCCAACCGGCTGCAAAGTTGGTACGCTTAGATGAGCCTAGTGGAGAAGAGCAGCTCGTCGATACCGACGGCTTTGTTTTCCCGTCAAACTTTTTCAACATCACCCAGGAACAGTATAGTTTCAGTAGCCTGCACTCGCTCATCTGCTTATATATGTATCCTATACCCGGCGACGATCCACATTCCACACAAAGGAAACCAGCTTCCGATGGTTTCTTTTGGCCTCTGCAGACTAATTGTCACGTCACTTACTTCGCTGCTCATTTCACATAATAGGCAATGGCACTAGCACGATGCGTTGCTTACTTTACGTCTGGGGCGTATGAACATAAGCATACTTCCCCGTGCATAACTTCACGCCTGAGAGCACCAGATTGTTTTTTCGTTCTGTCAGTTTGCACATATGTTAAAGCGGCTACGTAAATTTTTTCTGCACATCTTTTTTACTTTCTACAGGGTGTGTAAAACTACTTGTCTGCAAATAAATGCTACGTCGGGGTACGTCGTTCCTACGTCATTCCAGTTCATGGACCTCGACTGTATGCTTACTAAGATGTTCGACTGACAGAATTTTGGCTATTTCAATCAGCTAACGGCCATCAGGTACAACAGTTTAACATATAGCTATGATGACTGCCATGGTGTCAATCGTTATGGTTAATGGGTAGTGAATTGATGTGGGAGACGTACAATCATCGTGGATTTGTTTTCTCTAATGTCATCACCTTTGCTTAAGTTACAATAGCAAGCATTGAACGTCATAGCATTGAAAGCAGCATCAACCTGAATACTTTCACACCTAATGATATAATGAGCAATCGAACTAGCTATGCAGGAAGTAAAGGATTTTTCCTAATAAAATGACCGAATTTGGTACAGGTAATCGAGTGTGGTCCTCTCTGTTGAATAAATACCGATGTTTATTTTATGCTGGTATTCTCAATCTTATGGCTTTGATTATCATCTTTCCAACTCAAAGCGTACTAATTTGTTTAAGAGGCACAAATTATTATGTAATATCTAAGCGTACTAAGTACTAAGGATTTCATTTGGCACTAATAACTGTATATCTCTTAGCAGAATGCTATAGTGCGTTCACGCTTTTAGTCTGTAAATGCACTAAAGTTATTTACGAAATTTGTCATAGACGATAACTAAGTTCACAGTAGAATGTTCAACTTTCTTAAGTAGAGCAACCGCCTCTCTTTGGTCTTCTTCTTGCTTTATTACACCACTGACAGCAGTTGAGTCAACCTAGTGAAGAGCTGTAGATCATTCTAGAGCTATATATTTATTAAACAAGCATGCTGAACTTTTTGTTGAAATGTTATAAGCTTTTATTAGATTTTTTCTATGTTTTTCTCTCTCGCGTTTTCCCATTTCGCTTCAAAACCGTAACTGGGTTGGACAGGTGCGCCTTCTATCGCCTGATTGCCGGATAAAAGCCGATATATCTCCTGTTCTGGAGCAATCAAGCGAACGTCAAATGGACGTGTCACGACATGGCCTTTCTACCGCGATCGCTGTTGTCGTTGCTATTATGACGTTATTGTTTACTTTTCGCTACTGTCTCTTGCTTTTTCGCACCTCATTTGCTTCGTATTGGTTATCGCCTCATTAACTCTATGTCGTGTCCTCATTATTACGCATTATCCACATCTTACTTCTTGTTTCTATCGCGCAAACCAGCGTTCGTTTTCGCGTGACTCAAGCCTGTCTGCATCCAATGTTTTGGTCTTTCTCTTTCCCCGCCCTCTTCTGTCGGAATGTCAGTTCCTTGCTTTCATCAAAGTTGCTCTCTCACATGCTTTAAACCTATACTTACTCCTCTACCGTGCTAATACAGTTCGTATGCCGTTATACATTTTCTGTCTTCCCTTTTCTTCCGCTCATGAATCACCACAAAGGACGAACAAAGGCCTCGAGTCGCAGCAGTAACAGGAGCGACGTCGTCGAGCAAATCAAGTTGACCTGAACATTGCGCACACACAAACGCACAACTTCCCTACACATACTGAGATGCCATCGAATCTATGGTCTCGTTTCAAGTCCGAGTTCCAGATGCTCAATGAAAACCATGTGACCATATAATGGGAAACACAGTACAATCGAATCATAATCATCTATTTCTTATGTCGCTTTGTCAGTTCTCTCTTTTGCCCTTCCCACGCACTGCCAAGCCTAGTGAAAGCCCAATGAGGGCACAACTTTGGGCAAACCACGAGATGGCAAGCACGGTTGCTCTAGACCGACATAAGGATAATTCATCATTCATGATACTTAGTGAAGCTCGCTGGTAATAGAGTAGTAATTTACTATCTCTAGTTACGTAGTATACCGGAATTCATCTTGAGGCAAAGTGCATTCCTATAACCAATATTACAGTGTACTTCTGCGCCATAATGAAAAGAACCGTTTTCTTCTTACAGATGTACCATTTCAAGTTCATCAATGTTAATATTTAAGGAATACCTGCACCTCATTGTCTTTCTGCATGCGCATTATGCCGAAGTCCTGCTATCCCCGCTGCGACCTGACTAGACTTGTTTTTGTTTTGTTAATAGCGCAATAATAACCATTGCACTATTATATCGGTCATCACCATTATGAAATTGTCATGCGCATCACTGTCGTCATTAATGCGCAATCGTCATATTAGAACTTCGTGATAATAACGCACATATGATCAGGAGCAATCCGCAAAGCCTTAAAGAATTGCTAGTATCCTCATAATCAGATCCTTAAATGAGGAACGGTATAGCCAGTTTGATAGATGACAAAATCGTTGATAGTATGAACCAATCTGTTTGGGAACTTTTCCTCTAAAACATATAAGTTTTCTCAGTGCAGTCATTAGGTATTTGAAGTACGAGTCTTCATCACGTAAGATATCATATAGTTCCTGGAAGTGTCGCAGCCCCAATATTTCGTAGATGCATTTACATTCGTTGAAAGTTGCAATACTGTCATAATCCTTATTACCTCATCACACCACCATTTTGAATAAATAAATTGCAGTTGTGAGTTCAGTATGTAGTACTCCTTCTGCGCCGGGCGCCTTCGTCGTTTATATATATAGATTATTTTTTTTATATATATATATATAATCTGCAAGAAATCTCGAACGGTGCGCCAGCATTAAATGGCAAGTCTAAATAATGTACACGTTATATTACAGTGATTTGTTAATCTTTCAATTTCTTTTGTTCGATTTCTTCTTCTACCTCATTTCGTTGAATGGCCTCATTGTCGTTTGTATGGAGAGTACGCTTTTTTAGGTCTTATTTAAGTTAAGAACTCTACCGCATACTTACGTGGGCTTTTCGTTATCATGTTCCACATTTGAGTATTGTTTCCGCAATTTGTTCGCTGCTGTTGAAGTTGTTACAGCTTTTCATCGTGTAGCATACTCTTAATACTTAGACTTGGCCTTCTCTTTTAATAACCGTAGTTTATGTATAGGCATTGTACAAGGAGACATTTCTGTTATGCAGAACGAACATGATGATCGTCGATGTCTTCGTCTTTCTTTTTTTGTCCTTTGTATTAATGTTTTGCTGTATTTCTCGTTTCTTCTGCCATTTTTCGTGCTAGGTATATCTGATTTGAACGGCAATAGAGTCCGCTGTTCCTGCATCTGTTTAAAGACCACGCAGGATCGACCATTTCGTACCCATCTGGTTTCTTATTATGTGTTTTTCGTTCCGATCGATGCACCTGGCCGTCATTAATGGTTCTGCTATTCGAACGTCAATGCCGAGCAGCATTCGGTTTCAGTTCAGACTTTCTGGGTTTTGAATAATCACACGCGATATTGTGTTACTCGGAATGAGAAACTGGCATAGAGGTAAGCACAATCTGTTTGTTATTCAGCTGCTGATTGATAGGCTTCGAAAGTCTCCGGCACTGAAGAATAGTTGAAGCAATACGTTGACGTAAGTGGTTTGTAGAGGTCTCGTCCTAAAATATCTGTGATGAGGTGAGAAGTGGAGGTTTGGTATCAACTGCATTCGATGTCTGGTTAGTCATGCCGTGGTACGCTGAGGTCGGATATGGTACAGGACTACCAGCACAGCCCCATTTGCTGCCTGAAAGGCTTCCGCAAGGACTATCCGCGCCCATCTTCCCTCCTGAAATTGTGAGACAATGTTAAAGAGGAGAGAACGACGGTTAGAACCCTTTGATTATTCCACGAACGATTGTAAATTCTGAGTGAAATTTAGAGCTCACGTAAATCCCTTATTTACTTCAAACCCCCTTATATGGAATACGTCTTCCTAAATAAGGTCACGTTTTTGTGAGACGTTAGACAATCGCCGTAATCCTCATTCAACACATTTCAATAATTCGCTTCTGTGAATGTTGCGGCTTCAAGCTAGCGATTTCGCATCTTTAAGTTAGCAGTTGAAAATCACATATTGGAAATATACGAGCGTTTGTGTGCATGCACCTTGGCCGAACTTTTATTCCGCAGGAGGACCACACTCTGGTGAGCCTTGCAAACAGTGTTGATTTAAGCAGTCATCGTCTGTTTCAAGGTGGCACGCAACCGGCGTCTGGTGAATTGTGGCTTGAATGAAGATATACAGGCTGGCCCTTCAAACGTAAAAGAACCGCGACGAGTACGCTCTTCAACAACTAGCTATACAACTGTCTAATATGTTTGATGTTCTGCGATGTTGCGCTTTCTCGACGACAACAGACACATTACAAATGGAGACAAATGTCTGACCGATAAAAGCAAACGAATACGCTTTGAGAAGGAACGCCAAACAGCAGCGCGCCGTCGCAGTAAACGAGAGGGCAACATGGGGTCTATGAAAATTCGGTCGCTTGCATAGACACAAGTGTTCTCTGCGTCGCTCACTTCGGTATTATGTGTCCTAAGGCGCGGGCGAACAACTAGAGACACTAAAGGTGCTTTCAACTTTTCCTAGAAAATTGAAGAAATATTCGAATGAATTTTGCTTTAGCGGCTTTCTAGGCAGGCCTTCAGTTAACTTAGCTAACTGAAATGACGCAAGCATGCTTAGCTGTTTAGTCATTTTTCAAGCGCTGATCCCCCAAGTCATTTGAGTGCATCAACAACTTGCACGTTTTGTTTGACGAAATTGATAAGTTTCACAGATTGGAACATTAAGCCTTACTTATAATAATAGTCGAATATGCAATATTTGATTAACTCAGTTTTTAAATTGTGTACCTGTTATCCCCCTCTATCGTTCTCTCTCAAGCGTCACTCTCCGACGCATCAATTCAAAAGTAAATAGAGCCTTTTCCGTTTAAGGGATCCGAAGGATCGGCCCCTACTCCGCCATTGACACACGCCAAATAACGGCAGCGCCGCTAGCGAAAGTCTCTCGGTATGTTATAAGTGTAAGTGTGTTTGTGAAGTCAATTTGTGTAGTCAACATCGGAGCTGGCCAAAGTTTTCCCCTCTCTACTTCCTATCGAAACACGCAAGAGGAGCTTTACATAGTGACAGAAAACAAGAAAAGAACAGCTGTTTCGTGCGTGTAGCTTGCGTAAAAAAACTTTGTTTCAAATTACTTTGCAATATTCTCTTCCTTATTCGCTTTCGCTAGTCGCTTTGCCTTGGCAGCTTTGGCTTGCTTGTCAGACAAGCGTAAATAATGACTCAGCAGCTCGTGCATAATTAGGCGACCCCCAAGAGCCTCTAGGCCTAGAAGCAGACGACACCCCAGGAGCATACCGCGGCACTCAGCAGACGACAACGACACAAGTACCGCGGCGCCTGGCGCAGCGGTCAATAAGAAGGGGGAGCTAACAGGCTTTGGCGCCTAGGGGTTATCTCTTAAAGCCATCTTAACTCACAATTTGGCGGAGAGGGTGGCAAGCATTTAGCAAAATGCCGTTGAGTCGCACAGCTGCCTGACCAGGAGTGGTCAAGATACCGAAAGAAAAAATACCACTTATGTTCATTATATTGTTGTCTCGCCAATTTGACTGACCAATAGGGTAGAGCCCTACCTCTTTTCACTCACCTTCAGCAAATCAGCACCAGGCTTTTTTTCTCTGTTGGCCTAACCGCCTTCATAGGATGACAAAATCTCAATGCATATGTCTAGTATAGTGTACTAGGTCGCGCGCATATTCACTGACGTGGCGTTGGACCCAGACATTTCAATATTGTTGTTGTTTCTACTGTTATTGCCGTCGACCCTTCAGGACTCTTCCTTTTGGCCAGCTCCCCTATTCCTCTTTTCCTATACAGCTTCCCTTTAGAGATGCTTGAGACGTTTGACTAGAAGGGCCTAGAGCCTAGAGTTCAGGCAGTCGTCCACGAAATTCAGCGGATCAAATGGGTGAGGGCGGTAGCAGCGCTAGTGGTCCGTTTATAGTAAGGGGGCATAATTTGGCAAATATTGGTTGGTTGTCTCTGGGGAGAAGCTCAGACAGGAGCTTCAGTCGTAGAGTTTTTAGCGAGCAGCTAGCTAGCTAGCTAGCTAGCTTCGATAGCAGAATGGCAGCATGAGAAGGCACCGGAACGGCAGACCGCGCTGCTATGCTCTCCCAGGGGTTGTCCTTTCGCTTCTTTTCCACTTGTCCTATTCCTCAAGGCGCGCGGCCAGCACCTCTTTGCCTTGTGTGTGCGCTCTCGCTTTCGACAGAATCGCAACCTTTTGCTATGCCCATGTTCTCGTATAGATAATGCGATAGGACAGAAACACGCGAAGGAGACGCGGTTACTCTAGCCTGGCTCACTTAGCAAAGCAAAGCAGCTAGGTAGCAATGATACAACGAACTCGGCTACGCAAATTGTACTCTATAGAAATCTGTATGAAAAACGAGAGTGGGCCTACTAAAAGTGAATTACTGGGTAAAATATTATTGCGCAACGAAATTATATGCTGATTGGTATGGCCTATTGACGAACTCGTTGACACCTTGACCAATTTCAAAGAAGACAAGAAGAAGGACTTGATTTGATGGCATAGCCATGTATGACAAATACATAACTCAGAATAGAATAGAATATACAGCAAAGAAGAGATAAAGTTGAAACTTTTCTTCACAGTTCCTAAGGCTGATTCGACGTAGAGCTGTTAGTTTGAGCCACTTTTAACAATGTCCTATGTCTTTTCGAAATCCAGATACAAATGCGGAAGAAAACACTTGTGAATATTGATGCTCACGCCTGATGATGACCGCCTAATTAGTATAGTTATTTAAAAAGAGCATAAGGACTAACACTTGGTGCTAGAAGAAAACGACAAAAATGGATTCCTTCTACCTGAACGGAATAAACCTGTTGGATGATACCCAGCGATGTCATGTGGTTTTAAATAGAGCGGCGTCTACGATATTAGTGACTGTAGATTTCAGGCAGTAGAATGACATCGGCAATCATCTATAGCCGACCTGTTGAGTCGACATTTGAATCGATACAAAAAATATTGTAATTAAGTTCAAGCAAAGTCCAAGACGAACTTTATGGTCTTCGTCTATCTTGTTTTTTCTTGCTTCGCAGGTCTTCGATAAACGATTCATGAAGTTTCAGCCAGGAACCGAGTCCTGTTCAACAGCTCGAACGGATGTGTCTTGGTGAGCCTCGACTCTCCTCCGTGGTTAGTTCGCTTGTTCAGCCGACGATGCGGGTGTCATTTATAAGTGCGGTAATAATCTACCCTTATTAACTCTAGTAGAGACAGTTGGAAAGCGAAATTGCGCGCCGATGTTAGCGGCAGCAGATGCGGTCCCACAGCTAGTTTCGACGGTCGGTCGGTTAGTCGGCTTCTTGAGCGGCGACTTGTGCCGCTTTTCGACGGCCAAATGGGGCCGAAGTGTCTACCATCCCATGGTCCTGAAAAGTTCCTTGGCTCGCTGACCGACAAGGAGGGTGGTAACGGCGAGTGCATTTGTCTTTTGCTTCACCGCTGCGACCGAAACTGCTTGGCTTCTCTTCACGACATCCCGCTTGCCCACTTTCTGTTCACTTCACAAAACACTTGCTCAGCTTCTACAGGCTGAACAAGGACAGCAAACGGCGATCGTCGTCGGTGTCCACGTTCAAATCGAAAAGAGCTGGGAGATCCTTGTCGGTTCGCGCAGTTCGTCAACGGCCGCGGCAGCAGCTACAACAGGAGAAGCAGCCGAACCGAGGGCGCAGGCAAAGACCCACCACTTACTACTATTACCACTTGGAAACTGACAATCCCCGAAACCCTCTAGTCTCTCTATACCACTCCCTAGATAAGCTTTGGCTACCGCTGCCTCGCTCCAAAAGCCCCTCTTGAGTCTCTCCATAGTTCCTTGTCCCCCTCCGCCTGTCAGCTTAAATTAGTCTCCGACGTTTCGGCCCTCTTTCAGTCGCGACTGGCTGGTGGCGGCTGGCCGCTTGGGTCGCTGCTCGTTTCTTTGGGCTAGGTCGGCTGGCCAGCCAGCCAGCCAGCCAGCGAGCGAGCGAGCGCCGGAACACAAAGCTAAAGGAGAATTTCGTGGAGTTTTCCTTTCTTGCTAGGCTTTCTCGGGGGAGTTGACGGGCTTGTTTAACGGGAGCCTATCGAAGGCGCTAAGGAACAATACACTCAAACTGTACGATAGGACAGAGCATGCCTTGTTGCCGTTGCAGAAATGCATGATACGCAAGCGGCTGCATAAAGTACCGGTAGCCAATGGTATCAGCGTGCTCGCCACCTTTGCTGTACACAATTACCGTATCGGCTGTGCCTTCTTTATAGAACATCGTTTTTGTACGTGGGAACGTCTGCACGTAAGTGGTATTATGTGGTCGTACTCGCTCATACATCAGTAGCCGATTGATAATAACAGGAAAGGAGTAACAAATAGAGTGAGAATAAATCTTACGTGGACCAGATCACGTTGACGTCTACATTGCGCGTGCAGAAGAGGAGAAGGAAGGAAGGGGTAGGAAAAAGGCGCCAACTGGCGAGTGCTGTTCAGACAGTTTAGCCTTTAGAGATGATCTCGGTCATACGATAATTTAAATAATTCTACTAAAATTGTTTACAAATGCTGGTCATCGTGTATCACCGATATGTAAAACGTATAGAGGTTTTCGGGCTAGTTACATTTGGTTTGTAACGTAGTCTGTGAAAATCAAGTTCTTGTTAAAACAATCTATTACTAATCAAAGCTAGAGAGACACGTCAAAGCCACTGAAAGAGAAGAGATTGTAATTTCGGTGGGGCTAACCGTTGTGCGATGTCATGTTCGATTTATTCGAGTCTGGCGAGTGTTGCTGCTGCATCAGCTGTTGCATATTATTCTTTTCTTTACATTCTTTCCCTATGCCGACGCCGTTAACAGGTGCAGCTACCCCCAGACCAACTGCTTGGCAGTTGTTGTTCGTTGTCGAATCCGCAACAGTCGTTGAGATCGGCGATGGGGGCATTCCATCGGACCCGCCTCCTCCAGCGCCCTTTTGCTGATTAAGTCGCTCTTGTTTGCGGAATTTGGCACGACGGTTTTGGAACCATACCTGCAATAAGTAAGATTATTGTTATGGATTACGTTGGCTATTGAATCGTCTCGCATTTATCTTCAATGTTATTAGCGTGTGATCTTTCAAGTTACTTTGATTAATTATAAAAACACTTAATTTTAAATTCTGCTTGTTTTACTACTTTGTTTGTACGTATTCCAAAATTGTCCAGCTAACTATCTATTACTTGTCCATTGCAATTCGTGCATATACATCTAACTTAGAATGGCACACCCAGAAAGATTCATAAGTTTATACTTTGTTCTTCTGTTCCATCCAGGCATCCAAGGGCATAGATATTTAGGATAAACTGTCTCACGTCTGTTTGAGCTCTGTGGCCTGCTTATGGCCTGTCCTTTGCCACTGTTGTACACAGTTTACTTTCTCAGCCACTTTCTGGGTAAGTAGTTTGCAGTACGAGATAGGGGATATCAGGCAATGACACATTTCTACCCTATATGTGTGTCGAAGTGTAGCGTGTCGTTCCTATCTTATAAAAATGACTCGTCTTTTGCCCCTCTGTATTCCACGCCCACCTTCGCCTACTTCGGGCGCTTCGGTGAACATTCAGACTGCATCGGGCTCACAGTGGACTCCTTAGGGTGTATCCTCATCCCTCAACACAAAACGCAGATACGACATGAAGATTGTGTATCGTTCGCTATTTAGTTCTATATTATTTCATACAAAGATGGCGGGCGATCCGCCAGCGCTCCTTGAGGTTGCGTGAGGTCGGGGCCGCCGTACTCTGCAGTTTGGCAGTAGCAGCAAAGTCGAGCAGAAGCAACCGCAACTACAGTTAGGAAAAGCGAAGAGTTGAAGGCGGGTTGACCGCAGCGGGTGTCCCATTCAGGTTTTCTCTGTCTGCCAGTCGCATTACTTCCATTCCATTAAACAACGCCGATGGTCTCACGGGCAGAGAGCGTGCAAGCACTCACATCGAGAGCTGAACTTGCCTTGCGGGTAGCGGGAACTAAGAGGGAAAAGAGGGAGGAGGTATGGAGAGTTTAATTTTGGATGCTCGGAGATCAGGGCAGGATTTTAGCTATACGTTTCAATAAGAGAAGGGAGAAGGAACCCTGGATGACGAAGATGGGGTAGGAAGCTAGTGAAGAACAAATTATAGCAAACGCTGAGAAGACTGGTCGGCAGCCGTCAATGTTCCTGACTGCCTGACGAGGAACGATAATGCCCAGGATAGGCACCACTTGTAGGTCAACACAGCCGAGGCATGCTGGGCCATCACACCGAATCGGCCGCGGTTTTATCATCGTAGAAACATCTTTTGTTGCTGTCCTTGAGATCGCACAGCAGTCGGTGTCCCTTTTCTTTCAAAATGTAAAATGTTTATATAATACACGTACAAACACAACCGAGCTCGTCCAGTATCTTTATTTTTGTTTTAACAGCACTATCGTCCCTTTGCGCTTTGTAGCCAACGCTAGCTAATTTGTAGCTCTATGAGTAATTCGTCCAAGAAGTCTATAGTTTCAAGTTGTTAATCAAGAGAGGGTAGAGCTGCTATACAAATTCGTTCGCGTAGAGCAATACTAGTCCTGAACCAATTGGAATACATATCTTGAACCGTAGAGCCAAATTGAGCGACAAATTTGCCCTACATCTTGGGCTCACAGTATACATTATAACTGTGCATGCATAATGACGCGGTTAGAGGGCATTTAGTCAATTGTCAATATCTCATAGGCGCATGCAGGCTTCAGGCTAGTTGACACAGCAAAAGCCATTAAACAACTATAGCAGAAGTAGGGTAACTTACCCCCGATTCTCGTTTCTTGCGAAAACCAGCAACATCCCTTTTCGGAATGGAACGATATTGCCTAATCGATCGATCGTGTGCCCTCGTTTAGTCATGGGAAGCGCAAGGCCGCCGCCTGAGAAACATCGGCATTTGCTTTTAATTTAAGTAGACTACATGCCAATTCTCTGATTTCTCGAAATGTGATGGGGAAAAGTTCTACAATGGGGGGCATGAATTATCGTTGCGGTGATGGGTGGAAATCTGAGAAACGCATTAGCTTGTTTCTTCTTGTAAGACCTATGTATGTCTCGTGTGAAGATACCACGAATACGTGCATTAAAAATATTGTGATGTGGCTCCTTTTGCGTTCATTTGTCAAGTTATCATTACGTTTTTTAGTCAATAAAAAACATAATGGGTAACTTATCTAGAGAAATCTAGCACCTAGTGAATCCCGGTAGGCTTTCTGGATCCGCATATTGATTCTAGGTATGACGGTATGTACCGACTGAATATTGGATGATCACAACGTAGATGTCTGACGGACGCTAAGTCGCTGCCTTAGTTCAGATATTTGGTTTTGACGCTTTCTACAATATTGTGGATAGTTCAGCTCATGTGGGATGTTGTAGATGCTTCGGCGTGATCGTCATCCTAGCTCTCTCGGCCTGTCTTTCTTTCTCGCCCTTTGTGTGGTCCACTGGTTGGCAGGCAGACCGGTGGTAGTCCCAGTCACCCCGACAGCCTCGACCCAGTGAGGACCTGCAAACCGGCCTAGCGCGTCCCTGGGCTACCCCTCCATCTATAATCGAGTTAGCAGCAGGTCTAATCCAATAGAAGGCGCGGTTCGGGGACACCAAGGGGGAAGACTTTGGGGGTGCATGGCAAGTGCAGATTCGTCATCATCTACCATTCATTCGGCCATACTGGCATCCCACGCAATACATATCCTTTCTTACATTTCGGCGTTGCCTCACGACGCCATATCTTTTTTAACAGGACAGTTACTCTCGTCGAATCGGGCGGCTGGAGCGTAAACGTCCATCGAAATGTTCTTGTAGGCTAGTATTTCGAAAACTGTGTATATTCGATTGGCAGAGGTATCAACTAGACGGGTGCACAACGCGCTTCTATTGTTAAACGGGAACTAGATATTTACATTTGTTCAATCATGAACGATTTTTTCTACCTTCAATTTTCAAATATATATATGTTGAAATCCTTATTGGGCCCTTTACGTTCAAACTATAACAAAACGTTAATGCGAATCAAAAGCTTTTGAGCCTCGATGATTGCTTTCTAGAGGAGTCATGCCGATCGAAAGAAACTTAATAGAACATATTGAAGCTAGCTCGTCTTTGCAGTTGTTTCTACTGGGTTCTGTTATTTTTGTAGCAGAGGATCATACCCGCAATGTATTGTACAATGTGTAAAATTGTGCAATAGTAAATTTCTCAAATTCAGGTTTGGTCGATTTCGCAATGAGAAACCTGCTTAACCCTTGTCGACAGTCGAGTCTACTATTGTTTTTGAGAAATAGGGCTTATTGAGATGAACCGTGAACTTTTCTATTGGAATCGAATTTGCGCTTCTTGCCTAAGTTTGTGCTCGTTTCATATGCGCCGATGTTCTCGATGTGTATCTTTAGGGTGTCTCGATAGTTAACGAGAGCCCTTGCGGCGCACCGTATATATTGTATGCTGTTATATACATTGTATTGCGTCGATATTCCCATAATTGTTCTTCCAAGGCCATTTGGGAAGTTGTTTAAATACTTCTGGGTAAAAGTATAAAAACTGGGCAAAACTGGCGCCACTAGAAACCCGTACGGACCAGGAGCATTAAGATCATGAGCGTACAATCAATAATATAGTTGGAACTAAGTTACATTTGTACATATATACGTAATTATGGTAGCTGCATACGAGAAATGAAGTTAGTCATATATGATATGCACTGAGTGTAATTATCTTCATGCGAGTCAAACGTTCTGCTATTCATAGATTCCGGACAAATTTCGGCTCGTATGGCTAACAGTAAAACGTTACTATTGCTCACAACGAACAGCCTCGTATATATCGAAACATGAGCACGTGTTTTACCTCAAAAAATTGTCGTCTATAAAAACGATAGGATGCCTATCTTCCATCAAGCGCGCAATTGCTGCGGCATACACCGAACGCTATGCCACTTCATACATGGCACGTTCGTCGTCATCGTCATCATCTATGGCGTCATGTGCAACTCGCGCGACGACCGTGCCCTTGTTTCGTAATTTGATTAGCAGATATACTTTTGCTGCTCTCATAGCTCGCCATTTTGTTCTTTCGCCTCTTCTCGTCTTTACCGCCACTACTCCCTTCGCCCTTGTTGCTTGCTGGGGGCAGTTTCGCCGAAGGATGGACGTATGGGCGGTCGGTTTATATCTCTGTGTATGATGCCAGTATCGACGGTGATGGTGGCGAAGGATTAGGATCTTTTGCTGGCACTGTTTTAGCCGAATGAGCTAAGTTCTTCTGTTTTGCTGTGCCATTCTATGGTGTCCGTCTCTCGCTTCTGAGCTGCTACCATCCCTAGCCTCCCAACCAGAAGTTACCAACCAGGTCACTCTCCTTAGCATTGCTCTAAGCAGGATGCCGCGCAGTAGGCCAAGCTGTGTGGCGAATCCGCCTTGAAGAAAAATAGAGGGAGGTGAAGATATGGTCGTTTGCTACTGCCACCGGTGCTGCTTGACAGCAGTTCGTTCTGCTGCGAGCTATCTGTCATTGGCCGCCATAACGAGGGTTTCTCTAGCTGTTGTGATATGGTCCTGGTATTGGTATAGCGGTGGTATAGTCAATGTGTCTATGCGTGTATGTGCGTATGTATGTTGGTCTTTTGCCAAGCCCTCGACAATGCCCTTCCAGACACCCTGTGACCCATCTATTCCATTGGAGTCTCGCAGAGGAACCATGCGCTAGCGGTAAACCGGCGAATGACTAGATCGGGCCGTTGGTTCAGACCGCCACGGACGGATGTTATTTTTATACCCCTCGAAAGCAGCCCGCAAGGCTAGCTACCCGTCCTTGCTTTGAGCACCCGTCCCGTGGGTAGCTGTTTGGAAAGAGAAGTTCTGAGTGCTGCTAACAGACAGGACGACCGACGATCCGCAATAACGACCGTTACAGAGTGATGTGCTGGTCGTCGTCGTCGTTGTGGTGATAATAATTGCTGTGGTAGTAGTGTTTGAGGGGCATAG